CTCTCTCTCTCTCTCTCTCTCTCTCTCTCTCTCTCTCTCTCTCTCTCTCTCTCTCTCTCTCGTGCGTGCACGCGGTGGGTCCTCTCTCTCTCTCTCTGTCTCTCTCTCGCTCTCCGCTGCGCTCCCCTCTCCGCTCCGCACCGCTTTCCGCTTTCGGCTCTCCGTTCAGCATGGATAAGTACCTGATCCAACATGTACTTAGGGGCTCATTCGACACTCCTTCGGGCGTCCTCGGAGCCCGAGGAAAAGTTCCATTTAGGGCACGCTCACACTAGGTACCAAATCCCCATTTCCCCAAAAAAAAATGGTTCCCGGACAGTCACACATGGTGAATATCTGCCCAAATTCTCAAAAGGGGTGACCATTTGTCAGCGGCCTGCGAAGCCGCAGGGGAAGGAAATTTGTCAGTGGCCTAACAATTGACGAAAGGGACAGCTGTTGGACGCAAAAAAAAAAGAAGGAAAAAACAGATTAAAAAAAACGAATAATTGCATTTCCCATTTGAGGTATCCACAGTGTGACCTGCGCCCTCCACAAGCACATCGCAGAGAGCCATGTAGCGACCTTGTCGTTAGTGTGTTGGGAACACAGTGTGACYGGCCAGGGCCGCATTTCCTCAAAACGACCGTTCCCATTTTCTCATTTTTTTGGGGATTTGGGTACCTAGTGTGAGCGTGCCCTTAGTCAAAAGGAAATTTGGGCCCTTTGTTCCACCTGTCCCTAGTGGAAAAGTCTCACCGGGAGACAGCAACCAAAAGCGATAAAGTGTGCCAAAAAAGAAAAAAAAAAGAAAAAAAAAAAAGAAAAAAAAACGAATAAAAAACAAAACGACTTGCCCTCTTTTCATGGGCAAACGTCTTTTCCATCCACAAACCTCTGGGGTCCTAGCATTAGAGTGAGTGAACTGCCCCGCTGCTTTGCGGCAAATTTCGACCTGGAAAGCTTCCGGAAAACCCAAATCGTAGGCCCCGGAGGTGGGAAAGAGAAAAGCAGACCCCACTGCAGCGCAAATTTTCGACAGTTCCGTTGGTGCCGGTTAGCGGATATGGAAAACTTTCCCTGTACGGAAACTTCACGTCCGCTTCTCTCAGTTCTCACCCAGTCCCTGGCCAGGGAGTGAACTGCCCCTTCTTTTTCGCGCGAGGGTAAGGGCCGAGCTCTCTTCACGAAAAGGCGTTTTCCGTACTTTTTCGGCGCCGTTCACTCCCTGGCTGCCACGACGACAAACGTTTCTACTCGCATCCTAAAGTGCCGAACGTTCCGCGGGGATAAAGCGGGGTCCCGACGGCCCGGCCTGCTTTTAGGGTGAAGGGTAGGGGGTCACGGGCTCGCTGCTGTTTCCTGCCGACTTCCAGTGGCGGGTCAAGGGCGCGGCGACACACAATTTTTTGGGA